GCTTAAGCTTATAGCTAGTATGGCTAGCCAAAGTTTAGAGGTCTTTGAGTGGGTGGTGGGGGCGACCTAACTAAACTTTGATCATGACAAGTCAGTGGTAAGAAGTGGTCATATATAACCAACTGAGCAGTACTTAATGTAAAATCCTTTTGGGTTATGACAAATAAATTTTTAGATTAGATCCTGGAAAATTCCATTTAAATATTAGTATGTTAACCATATTACATTGTGTGCACTGCATTGTGCTAGGGTTTGGGATAAAATTAGTTCTAAGGTACAGCTTCTGTTTCTAAGAGGTGGAGATTCTAAAGTAGGGAATATATTTTAAAAAATTGTGATTATCAAATAAATGGTAAAAACTGAAAGAACTCAAAGAAGAAAACCAAAGGCAACTAGAAAGATTCATGGAGTAGATAAGATTTGAATCTAACCTTGAAGATCTTAGGTTCACTTGTTGGGGTAATGAGAGAGGTATGGAGCGGGCAGGAAATTGAGTATATTGTGGTGATGGAGTATGGTAGGCTCACAGTTTATGTGTTAAAAACCAATTGTGTGATACAGAGACTGTAAAAGGTAAGTTTAGAGTCATCTGTTCAAGTCACAATGTGGAGAACTAAAAGGAGTTGAGACTTTGTGTCCCAAGCCTTCATACTGTAGGCAAAGGAAATCAAAAAGCTTTTTGAGTTGGATAAAGTAGAAGCAGTAGAAGTACAAAAGGAAAGGGGGGTAGTATTTAAGATCACTTACTATTAGGGCAGTTTAGGTGTAAGGTTGTAAATGTCTAGAGTAAGATTGTAATCTAAAACAGAATAGAAGGGGCTGATTTAAGGATATGCTGGAGAAGAATCAACAAGACAATAACAGGCCTTCTGGAGACAAAAGGGAGGCATCAAAGATGACTCCAAGGTGCATCAGTAAGAGAGTAGAGTTATATCATTGATCCGTGAGGCTTTTTTTTTTTTTTTTTGAGGTGGGGAAGGGTGTTGAATTTAATTTAATGGAAAGAAGAGAAGACCAACAAGAAGTTATAGATGCAGAACGGAAGGTTAGTCTAAAGATGATTTGAAAATACCTTGCATAGAGGTATTTGTTGACAAGTTGAACTTGTATAATTTTCTCTTACATCTTCTTGTTTGTTGAACAATAGAGAATCTTGGGGATACCTGTATTTGGGAAATAGGAGGAAGAGTTGAAATGATAAAGCAGGCAAAACATGACTGGGAAAACAAGAATTATAGGTAGGATAGTATAAAGAGATTCTGCTTAGGTAGGGATGTGGTCAGCATTGTTGAATGCTGTAGAGGGTTTGAATAAAGATTTAGTTACGAAGGCTTGGAGAAAGCAGTTTCAGTTGAGTAATGGGTGGAGAGTTAAACTAATAACCAGTGAATGGTGATATAAAGCATATCCTAATGTTATAAGATTTTGTGGTTAGAAGAAATGTAATTATTCTCAGTGCTAGCAGGGTTAGGGTTATTAAAACAAAGTATTTTATAGCAGATACCTGATAGGAACCACTGAATCCAAGGAATAGGGAACAATTAAGTTGCAGATACAGGAACCGTTGAATCCAAGGAATAGGGAACAATTAATTAAGTTGCAGGTACACATTAGAGAGACTGAACCAGAAGTATTACTTTAGCCTTAGAAAGGAGGAAGGACAGTTTGTTATTTAAGACTGAAGACAAGAAAAGGAGGGTGGGTGGACTATATAGAGATTTTTGAGATGTTTAAGATGTTCTGGATGTGTGACATTTACCTTCTTCCAGCTTTGCTGAGATTATTTTGTGGGATGATCTCCAAATGGAAGATTCAAAGCATGGAATTTGTCTTTAGGAAAGCAGAAAGAGAAATTTTGGTTGGAAATTAATGAATGAAAAACAAGATTCCTAAGTAGAGTTTTTCTAACGAGATGTGGTAGACATGATGGTTATTGGGTTATGTGGGTATTAGGAAGTCAGAAGGTAAGCTTTTGGAATGGAAGATAGGAGTTCACAGCATATATGCTAGAACTAGGGACAAGTCATATGGCTCCATTGTATATTTTTTTTAATAGTTCATGCATTTTTAAAAATATTTATTTATACAAGCGCTGGGTACAGTCAGAAGTGCGGGACGGTGAGAGAATTCACCAGAGCCAGAGTGGGGAGCAGAGCAGGCAGAAGGACGGAAGCACACTGCTGAGGGGAGCAGCTGGCGGTAGGAGAGGTTTGCGCGCCATGTGGGACCCTTCTCCGGTGGTCGGGGAGCAGCCGGGGATCGAACTGGCGCTGCAGAGGCTGTGGACAGCTTCGCAACCCAGCACTCAACCGCTGCGCCATGGGGGAGGCCCTCCATTGTATTTCTTCAGTAGATTAAGACATTATTACAAATCATATCTTTCAAGTATCCCATTCACTATATTGTTGAATAGATACTGGTGACAATATTTGTCGAAGGTATTCAGGCATTACTAGGGTGGTTGGACAGGATGAACTCTGGGATGTCCTTTTTACACTGTAGTACGTAGGTTTATATGCAGTCCTTTAGTAGGAATCTTCAGTTATAACTAATACTGTTACGTGAAATTAACTTGTGCCTCCTTTCTTTTCTTTTTTTTACTCAAAAGGCTTGTGAGACCTTAAATCACCAGGAAAGTTTTTAGGATTTTGTAGACCAGATGTTAATGTTTGACTGGAAAGTCATGAAAGACATTTGACTGCCATCTACTGTCACATAGACTTGGTATACAAATGATTTTCCAAGGATAGTGTCGTAAAGAAAGGTGCGCTATATATAAATTATTGCCATTTTTGGATTTTAAGTTGTAAGTGCTCTAGTGTTATTGTTTATGCAGCACTTACTTAGTTATCACTGTAGCCTTAACTAACAGGAATCTTTTTTTCTGAAATTTTTAATTTACCCATAGAATGAGGCTCTCAGTATAGGAATGCAGTGGACACTATGGACCTGATAAATAGTGTGATGTTTGAAGGTCAAAATGAGCTAAAAGTGAATCTGTGAGAGGAACTACTTAATTTGCTGACAGCAACAGCAGATACACAAAATAAGCAGAAAAGGCTTTTAATCATTTTTAAAAAAGCTCTTTTGTTTTTGATGAAAATCTGTTTGCTTTTGACTAAAAAAAGTTGGATTTAAGCTTTTATGGGAAGTTCATGTTGTACTTAAACTGGCTTAGGATCACTTTTTTCTTTATGCTTTTAAAGCACCTTAGTTTTTTAAATTAATTTCTTAAGAAAGAGGGAGTGTTTACTTTGAAGTGATAACTTGGTTTTGGCTGTGGATGATACAGTTTTAGACCTTAGTAATTGTGAGAGAAGATCAGGTAGATTATTGCATCATAACTGATATTACTTTTGCTGCTTCCTTTGTATTCTTCATCTTGGCCTCTGTGTCTGTGCAATTCAATAAGACCACTTGTCTGTTTAATTTTAATTAAAATTAAGTAAAGGTAAAAGTTTAGTTTCTTAGTCGCAGTAGCTGCATTTTTTTTTTAAATTTTATTTATTTATTTATACATCCAAGCACTGGGTACAGTCAGAAGCTCGGGAGGGTGAGAGAATTCACCAGAGCCAGAGCAGGGAGCAGAGCAGGCAGAAGGACCGAAGTACACTGCTGAGGGGAGCAGCGGGCGGCAGGAGAGGTCTGCGCGCCATGTGGGACCCTCCTTCGGTGGCCGGGGAGCAGCCGGGGATCGAACCGGCGCTGCAGAGGCTGCGGGCAGCTTCGCAACCCAGCGCTCAACCGCTGCGCCACCGGGGAGGCCCAGTAGCTGCATTTTTAATGCTCCATGGCTCCACATGTGGCCATTAGTAACTGTATTGCACAGTTGAGGCAACATAGAAAATTTTGTTGCGTAGTTATACTCTCATTCTTTAATTACTGTTGATATCACAGAAGTAAAAGAGACTTGGAATAGGTATTAAAAAAACAGAATTTGTACTACAGTTCTAAGAGCTTCAACTTGCTCAAAGATAAATATTCTTTAGAATATGCTTTATCTTTGTTTTTAGTGTTTGGTCTTATTCACAAGTCATTCTAATCATAATATAAACCATAATATAATAATATTATGAACTGTCTCTGCCAGACTATTAACAGGTATATTAAGGTATAATTGGCGTGCAATAAATTATACATATGGTAACTGTAAAATTTAATGTTTTGACATGTGTATGTACCTCTAGAACTATCATCATAATCAGTGCAGTTGGTGGTCACACTCCAGATTTTCTCATATACCTTCTTAATCCATCCTGCTCATTCTTCCCCACCTTCTCTGCTCACCTCTAGACAACTGCTGATCTACAGTTGAAATAGATTTGCATTTTCTACAGTTTTATATAAATGGAGTCATGCAATGTATACTCTAGTTTTTGTCTGATTCCTTTCACTCTGTGGAATTATTTTGGGATTCATCCATGCTACATGTACAAACGCTTCATTACTTTTTATTGTATGGATTATGGAGTACAATTTGTTCATCCATTAGTCTGTTGATAACTTTGGGTCAGATCCAATTTTGGTTATTACAAATAAGCTGCTACGAACATTTATATACAAGTTGTTGTACTGGCATGCTTTACTTCTTTTGAGTAAATACCTCGCTGTGGAATGGCTGGATCATATGGAGCTTATATTTCAACCTTTAAAAAAAAACACCAAACTGTTCTCACCAGTGTATTATTTTACATCTCCACTAGTATTGTATGAGTGGTTCAATGGCCTCTAAATTTTGGTAGTGCCAAACTTTTTAATTTTATCTAACAGATGATTCAACAAGAAAAGACTGTCTTTGTGGAATTAACTCTCCTTGCAACTTTTTTTTTGTTTTTAAACTGCAAAAATAGTTTGTTTGCGAAAGATTTTAGGCAGCCTTTGATAGATTTTATTTACTCTTATTTTTGATAGTATTTACTCACTAGCATAGATTGAAACTCAATTTATAAGAACCAGTACAATTCCTTTTTATTTATGTATTTTTCCCTTTTTTGTTCTAGCGGCCCCTTTGTTGCTTTATGCAAACAGACGGGACTTGCGATTGGTTGATGCTACAAACAGCAAAGAGAATGCTACAATTGTAGTTGGAGGCTTGGAGGATGCAGCTGCGGTGGACTTCGTGTTTGGTCATGGCTTGATATACTGGAGTGATGTCAGCGAAGAAGCCATTAAACGAACAGAGTTTAACAAAACTGAGAGTGTACAGAATGTTGTTGTTTCTGGATTATTGTCACCGGATGGGCTGGCTTGCGATTGGCTTGGAGAAAAATTATACTGGACAGATTCTGAAACTAATCGAATTGAAGTGTCTAATTTAGATGGATCTTTACGAAAAGTTTTATTTTGGCAAGAGTTGGATCAACCCAGAGCTATTGCCTTAGATCCTTCAAGTGGGTAAGTTTTTGTGTAATGTAAAAAAGGTTATGATCTCCTCCTGGTTTCTCTCCTCTAGCACATCCCCCCTCATATCCAAGAGAGAAGAAAGATCAAAAGACAAATTTTGGATTCTTTGGGCTTCTTTGTCAAGTAGACTTCATTGTGGGAAGTTACGTTGTTTTCTTAAAGTAAGATGTTGTAAATAGTTTTGTTTCTAACAGCACCTGTGGGTTAGTCATACCTGCAAGCTTTGGTTTTTCTTTTGCACTTATTTGTCATATTAATGAGAGGGTAATTAGAAGACAGAGGCAGATGAAGACATAGTAAGAGTAGTATTTGATTGTTCAAGACAATATAAAGTCTGCGAATCTTAAAATTTTTATTATATACACAATCATTTTTTTACTTGTGTCCTTTATCTTAAACTTTTCATATTATTATCAGTACAGAATGAAAACTAAATATTAGTTGTTAATTAACTTATTTCCGATGAACTAAACCTGTATTTGCCTTGAAATTTTTATTTTCTAATGAGAAGGGAACTTAAGAGCTATGGATACATTCCATTAGAAAATATGAACCTTGAATAACTATAAGAAAGTGAAAATCAAAATCAACAAAAAACTATGAACCAGAGACACTTTTTGGGGGGTGGGGGCCGGGAGGGGAGTGATTGGGGTCAGAATGGGGCATGTGCAGTTGTATGGGGGAATATAAAAATAAAATTTATTATTTAAAAAAAAAAAAAAGGAAATCTTCTGTTGAGAAACAAATAAAAAAAAAAAAAAATATGAACCTTGTCCCTACATTGCTTGTCTGTTGCCATGCCTCAGTCCTACCATATGCCGTTCCTTGATCTGTATTGAATACATTGTCATGCCAGAGCCTGTTAAGTCTAGGTTTAGGTAATTGTCTTAAACATGAAGTTGAAATGAGTTGCTAATAATTGTTTAAAATCTAAAGATAAATAACCGGTGTGTAACTATTTTAATATTTTGTTTTCTTTGACTTTCAAGTATGTTGGATGTTTTAAAGCTCCTTTAGAGGAGAGTATATGTTAAAGAAGTAAAATTTTATGTGTTCCTTATTTTGATATCACATTTTATTTGGTGATGAAGATTAAAGAAAGAAAAAAAAAAGATTAAAGAAAGGGCATGTTGTAGAAAAATGAAGACCTTTGTCTGAAAGATAACATGGGTAGTTTTGGGGAGTGAAATTTTAGGATGACGTTCTGGAGCACATAATATATATTATATATTTTATGTAAATATTAAAAACATACATTTTTAGAGGGGCACTAATAGGTATCTGTTAAAATTGGATGATCTTAATAAAACTTTGACAAATATTACACCAGTTCTGGTGGTAGGGAAAAGGATTGAGGGTACTGAGGAGGAGGGCTCAGGTGTTGGATGTACAGAAGACTGTAGTGATTGAAGAATTTGGTTGTCAGAACTTGCAAGATATTTTTGAGAAAAGGAGTCTGTTTTGCCAATGTTTATAAGTTTCAGGGAGTGTTGAAATGTTTCTGAAAGTATTGATTTGTATAACAGGGTTTTGGGGCTTTTAGTGGTTGTTAGGGACTAATAACTTTGGTGAAATGATAGTTTTTTTGATTCCCTTTTGTTATTTAGTCTTATAACTTAAAGGTGATAATGGAGATTCACCCAAGTGTCTATTTAATGGTCAGAATGTTCAGAGATCTGCTTTTGTACTTTCAAGAGAGAGTAAGGATAATTTTAAGGATTTGCTGTGTATTTAAGGAAGAAAACTTGGGAGAGACAACTTTTCTTTCTTCAGAATATGTTTGTTAGCGTTATGTAGCATATTTGTGGAGGGAGAAAGAGTGCTAAAGGAGTTAAAAGGGCTGCAAGAGCTCTTGAGGAGGACAGGTGGATAAAATAATTTGCCACAATTCCGGACCAGCATCATGATCATTTCTGTAAGGGATACTGATTATGTGATAGCACATACTCAAGGGAGTTGAATTTATTGGGGAACTTTTGACTATTCAGGATCGAATTATTTAATGAGCAAATGAATCATTCTCATTTTGTCCCTAAAACTAACAAGTTTTACTTCCGGCTGGCAGGTCTGACAAGGTCTTAGGAAGTTTGCCATGTGATTAAAAAGTACATTAATGTTTCTCTGGCTGTCATTTATCCTTGATACTTTCCAGTATTGAAAGTGAGAATTCACCAAAGATTTGGCTGATAGAGGATATTAACAAAAGGATCAATAATAATTTGCTGTGAAGTAGTGTGATTTAAGCTTCTAAGAGATGTTCAGAGAGAATAACTGAATTTTTCCTTAAACTTAAAGGTCTGGTTAAATATCTAGTGAAATACTTTTCATTGTTTTTTAAAAAAAATTAGAGTATTACAATTGATTCATTCATACTCTATTGGACATTGTACATCTAGGTTTCCTACAGTGCAGAATGATAAATAACCCTGTTGAAATATTCATTGGTTTTGTACTTCCTTAGCATAGGTATCTATGTTAATCTTTTATATTCTTAACAGTCTCAAATGGGTTTTTAAAAATTCTTTTTATTGAGGTAACATTAACTATATAGGTTTTAGGGTACACCTTTTCACTTCATCTTTCATTGTTTTTAGTGTCTGTGATTGTGTGTGTGTGTGTGTGTGTGTGTGTGTGTGTGAACTCACCTTTTCCCTTTCTTTAAAAGTTCATCTCTTAAAATTTCTTTTGATTTTTAGGAAGACATTTTGCATGATCTAGCTGTTTTTTAAACAATGCAACCAAATGGTGTACATGGGTCATTAACATAATGGAGTATATTTAAAATTATACTTTAAACTTCTACATTTAAAATGTATTCTGTCAAGTGATCTTTCAGTGTTGATCTTTGTGTTAAGGATTTGTGGTTTTAACGAAAAAGTAATTTTGAATCGAATATATCACTTACCAAATAGAAGACATTATTTCCAGATTTTTTTGGGAGGGGGGGCAGTGTGGAATGAAGCTTGTTTTCCAGAGATATAGTATATGAAAACAGTGCTGAGGAAAAATGTAGGCTTTTTCAGAATTCCAGAATCCTGGGTTATGAGGTTTAGAGGAGCTGACTGAGCTCTCTCACATCAGCTTATGTAAAAGGAAAGCTATTGAATGGCTGGTATTGTTTGAGCCCTGGGAACTAGTGCAGACATCTGTGTGCTTTTGGATGTATGGAGTTCTTTGTGTAATCAGTTCATTTAGCCTAGACTGAAGGAAGATTTTTATTTCCCTCCCTAAATTTGGCCCCTATTAGTCTGAGATCTTTTTTTTCCCCTCTTGAGTGACTGGCAGTGTAGAATTGAGAATAATGAAAAGGAAAACGTGTGCATGGAAATAATTCCAGAAATGAACAACCAAAATTACAGAAAGCACGATCCTTACTTTGTAGTGAGAGATACTTCTGACTTTGTGGGCTGCTCTTAATGGTGTAATTTCTAAATCTGTTCCATAATGACCATACTATTAATGATCATAATCACTATTGAGGACTTGCTTTTTAAATTTATTTTTTATTGGGTTAATATTTATAACACTGTGATTTAGAGGTATATCTTACAGGCCTGTTCTTAAATCATTTTGGTTTTTTTCACAAAATTAAACTATAGTGATTAATCAGAAGTGAATTCATACTGAACAACTTTGAATGATAGATAGATACATTTTTATCATCATTAAATACTTAACAACACCGAATCTCCTGCTTTAAAAATGCTTGCAGATCTAGCTCAAAAGAAAAAGATTGACATAATTTCCCCATAAGTTACATACTTGTAGACGTCGCGTGTTGAATATGTTTAAAAGTAGTTTTTACACCAGTATATCCCACATGACTAAAATAGTTTTTGTCACATAGTAGGTGTTAGTACTTTTTGAGTGACTGAACCTTGTATTTTTCTTTCATAATATTTTTAGTTTTTCTTGTTAGTGGTGAAAGTGTTTTCTAAGCACATGTAATTTTAGTATGGCATCTTATGAATTCGAAATCAGTATGGCTTTGATTATAAATGCTTATTTAAAACATATTTAAGGGCCTCCCTGGTGGTGCAGCGGTTGAGCGCTGGGTTGCCAAGCTGCCTCTGCAGGGCTGGTTCGATCCCCGGCTGCTCCCCGGCCACCGGAGGAGGGTCCCACATGGTACGCAGATCTCTTCTGCCTCCCGCTGCTCCGCTCATCAGTGTACTTTGGTCCTTCTGCCTGCTCTGCTCCCCGCTCTGGCTCTGGTGTATTTTCTCACCCTCCCGTGCATCTGACTGTACCCAGTGCTTCTATAAATAAATAAATCTTTTTTTTTTTTTTTTTTAAAAAAGAGTAATTGTTTAAAAAAAAACATTTAAGATCCTCAGTCTTTTCAACAAAAGGTGTCATCATATTTTATAAAAATATACTCACTGGAGCTTGTTTTATGTCCTGTCTTAGCTCTTTTACTTACCAACAAATTACTTCATTTTCTTGGACATCAGTGTTTTTATCTCAAAAATGATGGGTTCTGGGCCTCCCCTGTGGCGCAGCGGTTGAGCGCTGGGTTGCGAAGCTGCCGGCAGCCTCTGCAGCACAGGTTCGATCCCCAGCTGCTCCCCGGCCACCAGAGGAGGGTCCCACATGGCGCGCAGACCTCTCCTGCCGCCCGCTGCTCCCCTCAGCAGTGTACTTCGGTCCTTCTGCCTGCTCTGCTCCCCACTCTGGCTTTGGTGAATTCTCTCACCCTCCCGCGCTTCTAACTGTACCCAGTGCTTGTATAAATAAATAAATAAACAAATAAACAAATAAATCTTTAAAAAAAAAAAAATAAATAAAATGATGGGTTCTTTTCAGTTTTGACATTAAGTTTAAACAGTGAGACATTTTTAAAAAAGTATTCTATATGTTTAAAAATTTTTATTTCACAATTTTATAGTCAAGCCAGCAATTTAGATAGGTCACACATAGAATTGTGCCAGTGCAGAACATAGTTTTGAAATTTTGTTTCTACTGAACTTATTGCAAGTTGTCATACTCAG